GATGAGTAAGGTTACACCTAGAAATATTATTAAACAATCTAATAAAACAAGAAAACCAAACTAAAACAAATTTTTGATGGGGTCATTAGCCCCTGCTACCCATAACTGTGTGGGTCCGTTCTCAAGTACAAGATTCCTCATTTGGATTCAATTTTCACCACATATCAAGTTCTAAGTTGGTATTGTAAAGAAAGGGAAATGGGGACGTAAGCAGGGAAGATTTGACACCCTAAATTTAATAATCCCATTAAGGCAAATCAGTTTAAAATCCCATTTAGGCAAATTCATAATATCAAATACAAATATCTTGCATTTCGGTTTCACACTCAAAATCAAATCAAAACAAAACAAAACAATTGTTTTCACCTTTGAAATTTGCACAATGGTCAGCTGCAGTAACGGCTTGGTAGCACTCGTCAATGTGGCAACATTTCTCCTCTCATTGCCAATTCTCTGCGTAGGAATTATCCTGGCCACAAGAGGAGGAGCCCACAATGTGAAAAATTCCTTCAAACACCTATGATTGTTCTTGGTGTTTTCATCATGATCATTCTCTGATTGGGTTGCACGGCGGTGTCACCGGTCATCCGGGTTGCGTTGGTTCTATATCGTGATGATGTTCTTCTGATCGTAGTCTTGTTTGCTTCACCACATTTACTTACGCTGTCACGAAAGTAGCAGCCGGCGAAGCGTTGGCCACCAATAAGAATATAAGTTAGTAATTACTCATGTGGTTGAAACATAGAATTTTTGATGAGAAGAATTGGATGAAAATTAAGAGCTGCTTGGCTGCTAGCAATATTTGTACCAATTCCCATGGCAATAGATTACAAGAGTTCAGGTACTGTAATTTCACTTTCTTTGTTCTTCCTATAGTTCATTTCTATTATTTGTCAAAACATGTTTTTGTTTTCTACCTTTTTTTTTTCCTCAAAAACGATGCATATCACCTGAAAACTACATAGAACCGTCGAAGGTTATTAGTTTCGGTAATAATTGAGCACTTAACTTGAAAACTCAAGTTAGTTGAAAGAATCGATTGGTCTAATAGGCCTCTCACGTGAAATTTATTCAGATGAACAAGAATGTAATGTTCGGAAGGAGGGGACAAAGAAATCTGTTTTCCTTGTCTATTTTTTTAGCCGAAAATCGATGCATATCATTGTTGATGGCTGATAATTTTGGTAATAATTATGGATAATACTACGTTACATTTGTGGTTTCGTCTGATTAATTATAAACTATTACGTCGCATTTATAAGAGAAAATTAGTAAAAAAGGTTTGTTGTATATCTTTATCGAATAATTTATTAACTACTTACACAAAAAGCTTAAGTTGTAGGAAAAATCTTCCAATAGTATTAAGTCTAATAGGCCTCTCATTTGCAATGCACAAGACAAGGGCGGAGCCAAAAAAATTATTTAGGGGACGGAATGTAATGTACAATGAATGAGGGGGATAGAGAAAGAATTAGGAACTTACGCTAATAGGGGCGAAAATATTAAGTTCACAAACTGAGGGGGACAAATAACTTTATATAATATATTAATTGATGGTTTGAGAGTGTTTACCTTTATTACTGATGTTGCATAAGATTTTTTGTTTGGGAAAATGACTTGTTTGATTCTTCGGGGTGAAATTGTGTTTATTTCTAGTCTGAATTTTGCATATTTTCTTTTACGTATGATTCTCAATTTTTGTTTTCTTTTATCTGTGCATGTTAATGATGTATTGATGTTTATCAAAGAAATCATCAATTTTTGAAAAAATTATTATGTGCATGATAGAGATGTTTCAAAGAGATATATTCTAATAAATTTGTTTTCTTTAGATTTGACACCATATCCTATTTTCTTTGGTCCTCCAACAACAAGTCTTTGATAAAGTTATAGTATATTTTGATTTTTAATTATTTGAAAAACTTATTTTGAAATTGATCCTTCCTCATTTTTCATTTTGTGGGTATTTCTCTTCTAAGGTTTGATTAAAAATCATACAAAAGACTTCAATGAAATCACCTAAGAAAGATTTCTAATAAATTTTCTGATAAACTTTATAAAATTTTTCTTTTTAACATTGTTTGATTTAATTATTCAACTTCTTGCTATGCAGTCTAGTTGCTGTAAGCCTTCAGATGACTGCACATTTACAAATATTGAGCCCAGAATTTGGAACAAAACCAATGGGGATTTCACCAATCCCGACTGCCAAAAATGGGATAACAATCCCAACTCTTTGTGCTACAATTGCTTGTCTTGCAAGGCAGGCATGTTGGACCAAATCAAAGGAGATTGGAAGAAGATTGCACAAATTAACGTCACAATTCTTGTTTTGCTCATGATTTTGTACATCATTGGTTGTTGTTCGTCCGACGGTAGCACCCGCACCACCCCCTACGCAAACAACGCTGTTTATAGACAAAATCCTTATCATCCACAAAACCCTAATTGTGCACACTCTCCTCCTCCAAACCCGTATCATGCACAAAACCCTAATGCTTCTAAACAAATGTATCCTTAAACTCATTTGTGCTTATAAACCCTAATTAATAACAGTTTGTAGAAGTGTCAAATAAAACTTGAATAAGGGAGATTCTTTAATTCGTCGTAGAGTTTAGCGTTGTTAAAATAGAGTTGAAATGTGTAATTTAGTTTTTTAGGGAATTCATTTACTCGTATTAGGAGAAAGCTTGTATTCAAGGTTTTATCAATATTTGACAATAATCTTTGATTGATTTTACAAAGAATTTACCTTTATTAGGATAATTAGATATATTTGTTCTTGTCCACTTAATTTCTTTAAACATAATGGTCAGGAGTAAACAACTTTTTCCCATCCAAATAATAGTTTAATGACATTTTTCTATCCACAAACTTTTAAAATACTACTTTATTATCCAAATTTATATTCCAGTGATGAACAGAGAGCAGACTCGGTCTACACTATTGGAGCTTTTGAAGAGGGGAGACCAATGAGTCTTTTGATAGATGAAAGTTAGATTTTGGTGGTTAATTGAGATTGATCATAATTTGACTTGGGAGGGGTGATTGTGCAAATCCTAATCGCTCTACTGTTGGCGATTGATGAGGTCGATGAGAGTAGGATTTGAGGGATTTTGGTAAGTGATGATCGGGGAAGAAAATAGTGGTGATGTAGGGTCGCAATGATGTCGGAATCGGAAACAGAATATAAATTAGGATAATAAAGTGATATTTTAAAAATCCTTGGACATAAAATCTCATTACGTCATTAATTAGGTGGGAAAAAGCCGTTTACTCTAATGGTAAGCGTCTAACCCACAAACACGACTCTCATGACTATCTATTCATAAAATCTCCATTTGGCTAAGTAGTTAACGGTCTCATTTCACGTATGTTCAGTACCACTCCTTTATGTAAAATTTTTACAAGTATGATTTCGATGGTACGTACTTATAGAAAATTAACACATACGTTACATATTTTTAATAAACAAATATATAATATGATACATCATTCTTGTTTAGATAATTGATATTTGATGGTGACATTAACATAAGTCTGGTTATTAGTCCCACCACCCAGATTTCCAAATAATATTTGACTAATCTCTTTGGACATTTGTGGAAGTGGGGAACATCAAAATGCAACCGATTGGATTGAGTGTTTGAAGAAAAAGATAAAGGACTTTTAGTTTAGATATACTTGAAGGGATTTAAAGCAATGACACGATTTATATTATTAATTAAAGCTGTCAATTTCAATTTTTGTTGCAAATTTTGGTTTTCAACTACCAACTTTTTTTTTTTTTTTTTGGCCGTGGAATAAAGAGACCCTTATCTTTATTTATTCAATAATTCGATGCCTCACATAAAATTTTATAATAGTCAAAAGGCAACTTCTAACATATTGCAAGCTCAGTATTACATGTTATAATTATAATTACAAGTTTAACAATTAAAATCCATTTTATTTATTTATATTTTATATTCAACTTCTTTTTGGAGCTATTAATCTTAGAATTTCATCGGTTTGTTGTAGAAATTATTAATTTATCCATTAACATTCTTATTATAAATATGTGTACATATCTGTAAACAAAATATATGGTACTATTTGTACTCAAATTTATACACTCTATAGTCTATGCTTTTTTATTTATTTTATTTTTAAAATAATAAAAAATATGATTTATCGACATATCTGTTTTTTTAAGATAAAGTTTTATATGACATTAAAGTAGAAATAAAAAATTTAAAATGTTTGGCCATAAGTTTATTAACAAGGTAATGGACTAATAAAAATTGGGCTGGGCTACATTCCTTGGCTATATAATCAAAGAGAAGTGAGTTTTAGCCCCCTGCTTTTAAATTTATTTATTGTTTTGATAAATTTATTCTTAATTTAAATTACTAGAAATAATATTATAATTTTTAAATACACTTCTGTTCCTAAATTTATATTTTTGCTTTAATTTTTAACTTTAATCTTACATAAACCATAACCCTAAATTTTCATAATCATTGAATCTTTTGTTTTATTCCAAATATTTGTTTGTTTGATGAAAATATAATACTAAAACTACTGATAAAGAGATTAGGTTAACAGAGACATCCCACTCCCTTAACTTCTGTTAAGGCTTTGTTAACTAAAAAGACATAAAAACGTTAAGTTTATTTGCATAGCTGATAAAGAGATTATGCTCAGAAACCAAAAAGCGAACCCATATTTGTATTGTTTACTTGCATAGCAAGATTATATACTTCTTGGTAAACATTAATGTTTGGTAAACCCAAAACATTCTAGATTTATCCATATACTGTATATTTTGATAAACTTGTGCCTAGGATCTTGTCTTTAAATTTATTTTCAAGATTAACAAAACGTGCTTCATTGTGATTTAGAGGTGGCAAGATTTGATTGGCAATTAATTTTATTTGATAACTGTCTTCCAATATAATAGTAGAGTTGTTTTCTTCCAAACTCACTGCAGTTCCTTCCAAATCTTGGTTTCTCTTATTTATAATTATTTAATTTTTTTTTATATTTTCTGAGCATCGTGTTTTAAGAGAAGAGAAGGAGAGAAAGAAAATTAATGGCGGTTGGATCTCAAGGAAAGCAAGAAGTGAGCTTCCTCAAAACATGCATCAATGGCATTAATACACTTTCAGGTACCCATTTTTGAAAAATTATTTTTATAAAAAGTTCAATTGTTGGATTAAAATCTTGAATATTGATATTTATAATATCGATAAGGTTATCAGGTAGTAATTTATACCATAGGAAAAATCTCAAAATGTGTTTACCTTTCATGATCTTGTTCCTAGTATTATTTTATTTTTTGCAGTGTTTGGCTGAAATATTATTCAAATTCTTAGAAGCACTTTATCAAGAACCACTTCACTTGACGTAGATACTTTTTCAAATAGTGTTTGATAATTAAGAAAAATATATTTTATGTTAAACGAAACCAGCCTTAAATGCGTGATTGGGAGTGCATTAAACATGAAAAATGCTTTTGAATAAAATTGCTTTTCGTAAAAGCACTTAATAGCCTGTTTTTCAAAAGCATGCTTCCCAAAGAAATACTTCAAACATATTTCTAAGTAAACATTTATCAAATGTTTTCTTAAATAACAATAAAAAGAAGAGAAAAGATAAATATTAGTGATAGAAAACAATGAAATCTATATATGAAAGTTCATGATAGCGAGAACCTTAAGTCTAGCTTTTAGGTTAGCACTGAGAGCCTGTTTGGTTGGACTTATCTACCGGCAGGGACACAGCCAGAGTTAGTGGGTTCAAAATATCAAAGTTGATAAATTTACAATAAAATATATACTGAAATAATAAGCATAAAAAATATAATTATAAAAGTTATATATAACAAATTATCAATTCTATAATTGTCCTCAATGATTTTTCATATTCTGAAAATGTTGCATAATTGTTTCATTGATAATTCAATCGAATATCTCTCTCAATATATGTAATAAGACAATAACTTAACAATTGATCTTCTATTCAATTATGTAGTCAATTTTTCACAATCTTCGTCGCAAAAAATGCTATTTTAACCCTTGCAGTTGCAACATATAATATCAATATTAATTTCACAAGTAAATAAACCAAGTGATATACCATGTTCTTCCTTATTTGAACCAACTTTTCAGCAAGAGCATCAATTCCATTTAATGTCAAAAAATCATTATTAGAGCGCATATCAAGAATATAAGTATCCAACCACTACAACAAAATTGTCTTACATTAACATGCGAAAAGTGCTACCGTAGATAAAAGGTAGCATTTTTTAGCATGTTGTTACCGTCTATGTTTCTAAAAAATGAGGCTTTGGTAACATTTTTGGCATATTATTAATAATTATTTAAATTTTATTGTTGAGTATATTATAACACTTGTTTGTAGTTACAGATGATTGTAGCTAACCCTTAGTAAATGCTATAAATTAGTTTTTCATAACATTCATAAACTGTTATAGCTTACTTTTTTGTAACATTCTTAAAATGCCATAGATTTATAATCTATAATATTTTTAAAATGTTGTAGATAATTTTTTCGTAACATTGTTAAAATGCTATAGAATAATTATCAGTAAAAATATAATATGAGAAAATGAGAAGAAATGAGAAGAGAGAAAAGTTTAAAATATGTTAATTAATAATTCACTTTGTAAGGTTACCATGAAGTTAAATGAGGTTAAAATGGTAAAATCTATAAACATTAATACATTTTTTAAAAGTTGAGTGGGTTCAATTGAACCCACAACTTATTATGTGGCTACGTGCCTGTCTACCGGCCAGAATAATTTATTTAAAATCATAAACAATTTTGGATTTTAAATAAACTATTTTACTTGAGTTGATTTAAAGTATTGAAATTTAGAAAATATCCCTATTCTATTTTATAAATTAGACTTGATCTGTTCTTGTGTTTTACAAATTTTGGACTATGTTTTTATAAGCTCTATTCTAAATAGGATCTTCTTTTAGAAGCTTTATTTCGAATAAGGCGTACCAATTAGACCTTGATAATTTTTTTCAGGAATTGGAATATTATCAGTCCCTTATGCACTCTCATCAGGAGGCTGGTTAAGCTTGATAATTCTTATTCTAATAGCAGCTGCGGCCTGCTTCACTGGAATTCTCATCAGGAGATGTATGGATAAAGATCCTGAAAATATCAAAAGCTACATTGACATTGCAGCTTATGCATTTGGCCACAAAGGGAGAATTATTGCTTCTCTTTTCACTTGTTTAGAGCTTTACTTTGTTGCCACATGCCTTTTAATTTTGGAAGGGGACAATTTACACAAGCTGTCGCCACACTTCGCCTTGAAGATTGGGGGACTTACTGTGGATGGGACGCATGCTTTTGTTGTTCTTTCAGGTTTCATGATCTCGCCCTCTATGTGTTTGAATGATCTGAGTGTTTTGTCTTATGTTTCTGCTGGTGGGGTGCTCTCTTCTTTGATTGTCGTTTTATGTGTTTTCTGCGTTGGCGCGACGAAGAGTGTCGGATTCCATGGCAAGGGAAGGCTCTTTAATTTGAATGGATTGCCAAATGCGATTAGCTTGTACACTTTCTGCTATGGTGCTCATGCTACTTTCCCTCCTATCTACAATTCCATGAGAAAGAAGCAGCAGTTCCCCATGGTATGTCTTAACTTGTTTTAACTGATTTTTTGCTGTAGAATATCATCTTTTGCTGAGCAAATGATTTTTTTTTTTTTTTGGGTAATTAAGCTTTAAATAGAAAGGGAAAAAGAATGTATAAAGAAGCCTATAAAGGTCGTCATCCTATCATAGGACAAACTATTGGGATAGGATAAAAACAAAAGTCTAACAAAGACAAAAGAGCTACATACAAAACACTCCTTTTTAATGCATATTCTACCACAGGACAATCCCTGAGTTAAGACGAAAACAAAAGCCCATGTAAGACCATCTTCAAAACATACACAAGACAACTATTACCAAAACAAAACCGACGAACAAAAAATCACCCTTTAAAAATGCACATCACCTTAATGATAAATGTTTAATTTTATGCAACAACACCCATAACGAGGCTCTGGAGTTGTCAAGATAGATGAGGTAAGAGTGGAGATTCAGTTAACATTCCACATCACCTTATTATATAGGGTGTCGCTAGACCTTATATACAAGTGACTCTTATCACCTCACACATCCCCTAATTGAATGTGTGATTCAATCTATAGGGCTTTTGGGTCTTTTTAACTAAATAGATGCGATTAGGTGAAAGACGTTTGCGTAAAGTTCAAGAACAAACTTATGCAGGTTTAAGCCCAAAGCATACGATATCTACTTGATAAGACTTGAGATTTAATAATTGGTATCCAAGCTACGTTTAATATGTTCGATATGAGATTTAATAATTAGTATCAAAGTCAAGTATATAAAGTCTTTACAGGCTTCTTAAAATGAAAACCGCGCAGACAAGGCCTAAAACATACTCTATCATACTATGTTACAGTGGGTTATTATAAATGTTTTTTTCTTATTGTAACAGTCCGAGCCCTTGGTGTAGATATTATTTACTTCAAGTTCCAAAACAAAAATCTTTTATCTAACTGCATAGATGTGGGTTTTAGGTTTCAAAGCGACCATTCTTTGCCAAGAGCGAAACTTCAGTTGAGGGGACTGAAGACCTTATGAACTAATTTAGGCTATTATTTGTTATAATTACGAGATGCGCGAATATAATGCGATGGCCAATCTCAAAAGGCTTTTTATTGCAAGATTACCGATCATTTTTCTCTATTTTTTCTCCTACAGGTCTTATTGTTAAGCTTCATAATCTGTACCATCACCTATCTCGCAATGGCAATATTGGGATACCTTATATATGGACAAAACGTTCAATCCCAAGTAACATTAAATCTTCCTACTGAAAAGGTTAGTGCAAAGGTTGCAATATACACCGTCTTGGCAGGTCCCATAGCCAAATATGCATTAACAGTGATGCCGATTTCGACTGCAATCGAAAGCCGCTTGCCGGCAAATTACCAAGACAGCAAGTCAATAAGTCTTATCATCAGAATGGCTTTACTATTAAGCACTGTGGTTTTGGCCGCTGTGTTTCCATCTTTTCAGTCTGTGGCATCTCTCAGTGGAGCTTTTCTTATAGTGGTGGTTTCCTTTTTGCTCCCTTGTGTTTGTTACTTGAAAATGTTTCAAGTTTACAAGAATTGGGGTTTTGAGCTTGCAGGCATTGTTGTCATAACGTTAATGGCGGTTTTGGTTGGAATTTTGGGTACATATTCATCTATTGCTCAAACTGTAAAGAATGTTTAGAGTTTGAATATTGTTGATGCGAGATTTTGGGCACCAACTAATCAATACGTATGCAATGTTGACTGATCAAAAAGCACACGTAAAAATGAATATATAAAGGGAAATAAATGCTATGAGAACTTTTAAAGTGGTTCGGATGCTAAGGTAGCAAGTCCTACGTCCACTGATTTGTATTGATAGTGAGTGTGGGTCAGGTCGCAACAACGGACTGACTTACAAGAGGTTTAGAAAAAGTAAATGTGTTGTTTACAGGGGAGAGAGAGACTGATATTTTGTAAAAATGGTCGAATCCCCTTAATGAAGGGGTCTTCCTCTTCTTATATCAAGCTGAAGCGTGTAATCATCATTAAATCCTTGGGTTGGTGTGATTGTCAGGATACAATCCGGCTTTATGTCCCATCACCTTCTTCCCAAGCTGACTTCGCACGGTTTACAGCAGGAAAATGGACGCGTGGGAGCTCCATATCGTTTGGCAGGCCTGACGTGTGTTTGTTGTTCTGACGGGAGCAGGTCATTCCCCACGTGACCCTCCCACGTCAGCCCTTACTCTCCCAGGCATAACAAATATTTTTGTTCATTTTCATCCAGGATTTATATATAAACATTGACTAATCTACATGCCAATGGCCTGCCCGATATATATAGAATTTAAATACAGGTTTTTGTTTTTGAAAATAAGGATACAATAAATTTTATAAAAATATGTATAGCAGAAATGAATCAAAATATTCTCAAAAATAAATTTCGTATATAATCCTAAAAGCTAGTGCAAATTTAGAAAATGTTTAAAATTAGAATAATGTTACATGTACAAATTTTGATATAAAACCATACATACAAACTATTGTGTTTTAATGTGATTGGATAATGTTAAAATAAAGATAATTTGAACATTAGATGATATGTTAAACATGGAGGATTGATACATTTTGTAAGGAATAGTTTGTCTATGTAACATTATTCTTAAAAATAAGTTTTCATAGATTTCTATACTTTTAGATCTAAAAAATAGTTTTTAAATGTTTTTTTTTTCGGTAAGCATGGTAATTTTATAAAGGAATAAAAGAATACATCCTAATATTACGAATCTTCTGCATTATCACAAGATTATATGTATTTATTTCATTTATTTGTTGACTTTTTTACTTTAGGAAATATCTCTTTGATAGGATCACGTTTTAATAGGCTTGTAATTAGTAAAGATTTCATTCTCTCTTTTGTGTATATATGTGTATTTTTCTTTGATCAAAGGAATATAGAAAAACATCAACCAATTCCCATTTCATTTCTTAATTTTGTTCTGTAATTTATTATGGTATCAGAGCAAGTTTTTCTTTAAAGTTCTTTTTTTCAAACACAATTTCCATTCCAAATACTCAAACTCCAGCAACGCTTAAACTCCAACAACAGCAATTCCAATGTCCAAAGAAGATCAGTCCCATTCCAAACACTCAAACTCCAACAACAGCCATTCAAATATGGACCCATCAAATCCATTCTTTGTTTATCATTCAGATCATCCTAGCCTCATGCTTGTCCCAACAAAATTGAATGGCACCAACTATCAATCATGGAGTAAATCCATGATCCATGCCCTGACAGCCAAGAACAAAATTGGTTTCATCAATGGTTCTATCAAGCCTCCATCAGAGACAAAATAGCCAACTGAGTTTGCTCTTTGGAATCAGTGCAATAGCATGATTTTATCATGGCTCACTCACTCAGTAGAACCAGATTTAGCCAAAGGGGTCATTCATGCGAAGACAACTTATCAAATATGGGAAGATTTCAAACATCAGTTTTCACAAAAAAATGCACCAGCCATCTATCAGCTTCAGAAATCATTAGCATCACTCTCAGAAGGTAACATGTATGTATCCTCATATTACACAAAGCTTAAAGGCTTATGGGATGAGCTAGACTCATATCGAACCATCCCTTATTGTGATCAATTTAAAGCACATATTGAGCAAAGAGAAGAAGATCAAATGATGCAATTTCTCATGGGCCTCAATGACGCTTGTAGCACTGTTCGTAGCAACATCCTCGTGATGTGGCCGCTACCCAATGTGCATCAAGCACACTTCCTTGTTATTCAAGAAGAAACATAGCGACAAATGACATCAGAAAATACAAAGAACTTTTCGTTGCAGCAGCAACTCAAAGCTGCCAGAGCAATTATGTCAGCAAGCCCAAAGACAAACATTGTGAGCATTGCAATAGAGATGGCCATACAATTGACAACTGTCGCACTCTGAAATTTTATTGCAAATTTTGCGATAAGAGAGGTCACACTGAAGATATGTGCCAATTCAAAAATGGCACTTGGAATTCCAACAACTCAGCAACTCCAAGGAATCGAAATAATCAATCTCAACAACAACAACAACATGGATCCCATCCTTTTCATGCTGCCATGCAACAGAGTCTTCACGATCTATGCGTGGAGTTAATTTTGAAGACAATAACTTACTGAACGCAACACATGGATTTACTGCTGATCAATTGCAACAACTTGCTCGTGCTTTGTTTCAGATGACACCAAATCACACCACCAGTAATGACAACGCATATGCAAATGCTGTAGGTTTGTTTTCTTCTTCTAATGCTATTAATTTTGTTTTCACTAAGCCTTGGATATTGGATAACGGAGCAACATACCATATTACCACAGATTCCACTCTTTTCACCCACACAGACATATCAGCAACACCAATTGTAAAATTACCTACCAGATCTTCAGCCTCTATAACGTCTACAGAAACTATACCATTTAACTCTAATATCATGTTAAATAAAGTTTTGTGTGTCCCATCCTTTCATTTAAATTTGATGTCTATTAGTAAAATCACCATTGCCCTAAATTGTTTTGCCATTCTTTTTCCCACTTTCTGTGTCTTGTAGGACTTGGCTATGGGGAAGATGATTGGCTTGGGTAAACAACATGGTGGTCTTTATTATATGTCTTTGTTGCAAAGGACACCCACTTCTCATCAAGTTTCTCAACCTTCCAACCTATGGCACATGCGTCTTGGACATCCATCTCTATCTCGACTAAAATTAGTATCATCGTTATTGTCTCCCAATAATAAAGTTTCCTTTGATAATAATTGAAATGTTTGTCCTATGGCTAAGCAAACTAGATTACCGTTTCCTTCCAGTTTTATATCAACTCATGCTCCATTTGCTTTATTGCATTGTGATATTTGGGGTCCTCACAAAATTCCAACACATTCAGGGGCACATTTCTTTCTCACTATTGTGGACGATTTTACAAGGTGCACATGGGTATTTCTCATGCAATTTAAATTAGAAACTCAAACTATTTTACAATCCTTCTTTACCTTTGTACATACTCAATTTCATGTGTCCGTTAAAGCCATCCAGGTAGACAATGGCTCTAAATTTCTATCCATGCGAAATTATTTTCAATTACATGGTATAGATTATCAGCGTACTTGTGTCTATACTCCATAACAAAATGGAGTAGTTGAACGAAAGCATCGTCATATTCTAACTGTTGCACGTGCTTTGTTCCAAATGCATGCTTTCCCAAAGAAATTCTCAAAGTACTTTGTCAATATGAAAACATATTTCTAAGTAAACATTATCAAATGTTTTCCTAAATAACAATAAAAAGAAGAGAAAGATAATATTAGTGATAGAAAACAATGAAATCTATATATGAAGTTCATGATAGCGAGAACCTTAAGTCTAGCTTTGGTTAGCACTGAGAGCCTGTTTGGTTGGACTTATCTACGGGTAAAGACTAGTTAGTATTCTGAGCAATGGATTCAAAACAAAATTGATAAATTTAATTAAATATATACTGAAGTAATAAGCAAAAAATGTAATCTTAAAAGTTAATATAACAATACAATTCTACAATTGTCCTCGATGATTTTTATATTCTGAAACTTTGCATAATTTTTTCATTGATAATCTATCGAATATCTCTCTCTTATATGTAATAAGACAATAATTTAACAATTGATTTCCCATTCGTTATGTAGTCGATTTTTCACAATTTTCATTGCAAAAATGTTCTTTTAACCCTACAGTGTAACGATAATATCAATACTAATTTCATAGTAAATAAACCCAATGATATGCCACGTTCTTCTTTATTTGAACCAACTTTTCAGCAAGAGTAGCATTCCATTTAATGTCAAAAAATCATTATTAGAGCACATATAAAAAATATAAGTATCCACCACTACAACAAAATTGTTTCTACTTTAACATGCGAAAAGTGCCACGTGATAAAAGGTAGCATTTTGGCATGTTGTTACAGTCCTGTGTTTCTAAAAATGGGCTTTGGACATTTTTGCATATTATAATAAATTTTTAAATTTTATTGTTGAGTATATTATACACTTGTTTGTAGTTACAGATGATTGTAGCTAACCTTCGTAAATGCTATAATTAGTTTTCATAACGTTTTAAAACTGTTAGATCTTACTTTTTTTTTGTAACATTCTGAAATATACATTTTAAAATGTTGTAGATAATTTTTTCATAACATTGTTAAAATGCTATAGAATAATTATCAATAAAAAATATATATAGAAAATGGAAGAAATGAGAAGAGAGAAAAGTTTAAAATGTGTTAATTAAATATTCTTTTGTAGGTTACATGAAGTTAAATGGTTAAATGGTAAAATCTATAAACATTATACATTTTTAAATTTTTAAAGTTGAGTGGTTCAATTGAACCAACAACTCATTTGTGGCTACGTGCTTGTCTCCCGAGCTAATAATTTATAAAATCATAAACAATTTTGGATTTTAATAAACTATTTACTTAGTTGATTTAAGTATTGAAATTTAAAAAATATCCCTATTCTATTTATAAATTAGACTTGATAGATATTATTTATATGTTTTTTTTTTTTTTTTCAGGAATTGGAATATTATCAGTCCCTTATGCACTCTCATCAGGAGGCTGTTAAGCTTGATAATTCTTATTCTAATAGCAGCTGCGGCCTGCTTCACTGGAA